GCCGCGCCGTCGACCGCGTAGCGCGCCATGGCCGGCGCCTCCTTGCGCTTGCAGGGCCGCGACCGCGGGTCCACGCGCGGCGAGTCGGCGAAGGCGACGGCCTCGATGTTCGCGTCGCCGAAGCGCGCGTCGAAGTACGCGGGCACGTCGCCGAGCCAGACCTGCGCGGAACTCAAATCTTCAACCCGACTTCAACGTGCGCTTATGCGACCGTTTCGACGCGAGCTCTTCTGCCGTGCTTCGAGACCTCGACGAGAGCGATCGATTCGTCCAAAAATCAGCCGAATCAACTTCTGAAGTTTCCGGTTCCCCGCCGCGTCCGTCGCTCTCGACGGTACCCCGAATCACTTTTCGGCGGCCCCGGGCCGCGGACGACGTCGGCGTCCTGCGTCAGCGCGGGGGCGCGCAGGGCCGCCGCCGCGTGGGGCATGAGGGCCTTGACCGCGGCGAAGCGCGCGTACGCCGACGACTCGAAGGGCGCGTCGCGCGCCGCGTCGCCGTCCGCGAGCGCCGCCTGGGCAGGATAAGGGTGATTCAACGTCGCTTCAACATGAGTGTTCCGCGCGCGTGCGTTCCGGAAAAAAGCATCCACGCTTCGAGAGCGTTCCGAGAGATGATCGCTCGTCCAAAAATCAGCCGAAACGAGTGGAAAACGGCCGAGATATGAGGCTTTGAAGTTGGGAATTTCGCTCTCTTGTGCTGCCCTGAGCGCCGCGGACACGTCGACGACCTACCAAGCACGTCGGTCATGATTTTTCCACCCGAAATGTCTGCCGCGAGATCCTGAGGAGCGGCCAGCTCCAGGTCTCGGCGCGCGAGCGCGGCGCCGCGTCCGAGGCTCTCATCTCTCGAAAACCGTCACAACCGCGGGACGCCGTCGACGACGCGGACCGCGGGCCAGCGGCGCCGCACGTAGGCCGCGACGGCGCCGTCGGCGGCCCAGGCGACGACGTGCGCGAGCAGGCGCCGCCTACCAAGTACGTCGGTCACGAGTGTTCATCACCCGACATCTCTCGAAGGTCGTCGCGACGGCGCGACGCCGGGCCGCGCGTCCGCGGCCGGGCCGCGAGGCCG